AGATTCTGTGTCCCCCCCTCTCTGCCCCTCCCCCACTCATGCTCTGTCTCTCTGTGTCTCAGAAACAAATAAACATTAAAAAGGTTTTTTTGATAAATAAAGGGATAAATATGACAGCACACGTAAAGAAGACGGTAATACATCGACACTTTTAAATAACATTAACGTGCTGTTTTAGACGGAAAATAGCGTATGTCTCCCTTGTGGTTTGTCATGATAACAGATGTTAGCATGACGGTGTCTGTTTTCAGGCCTTCGCTTCTGCAGGTTTGTCTGGGATTTTATCCAAAGTGATCTTTTCCACATCTTTATGTCCGTTGCCTGGACAGAGGTACCAGATTTGTGAGACCGTCTTCACTCGTGCTTGGTCCAAATCGGTCCAAGACCACGATTAATTTTAATCTTGAAGAGTTTCTCTTGCATGAAGTGGTCAATACACAGATATCCCATTTCCCACGAAACCCCAGAAATTGTGATATTGTCCATGTTTTCAGCCCTTCGAGATGGATTCTAGCAGCCTTCAAAGGTCTGCGGAGTAAAAACGTTTTAAACAAGTCCAGTGGTTCCCATAGACGGCGGGAGGCTGAAAGTCCCAGGCTCCCTGCACTCTTGGGTTCGCTCGGAGCCCACGGTTGCGGGCAGGATGCGTGGCACCGTGGGTGCCGACCCCACCTCCGTTCCCTGGTGGAAGGCACGTCTGTGCTGGTCAGGCCAGCTGTGCACCTGGCACTTATTAGCATCCATGTAGAATGAGGTTTCTAAAAAGACACGTAATTACCATGGGTGGGTTCAAACCTTTTATTTGATACGATTAAAACTCACTTCAAGCCACGGATTTTTCGGGAGAAATATTTTACCACTGATGACAACAGGCAAACCGACTCTTAGTCTGTTAATTATTATTTTCAGACTCCAAAGACCGTGTAGCCCTGGGCTGCACCTGGTGCTGGCTACAGCTCTCCCTCACCCGTGACACTGGCTCTTGCCCTGGAGGCAGCTCAGTGCCAGCGGGGAGAATTGCAAGCTCCTTTCTCCTGGGATCAGATGCTTATTTGGGATGCTGGTTTGTTGGAGGGCCAGAGTGAGAAGCAGGGGCTGCTGAAGAAGGAGGCATGTGTTGCTGGGGGTACTGTCTCCAAAGACTTCAAAGGTAAATCAGGATCAGTGTGAATTTAGGTCTCAAATGTGTTAGTCTCAGAACCCCTTCCCCTCTCAAAAAGTATTGATCCTAAGGAGATTCTTTTAGAAGAGTGATGTCGGTTGATACTTACCCTACTAGAAATTAAAATTGGGGAGAGATCGTTGTTTATTTTAAAGTAACAGTGTAAACCCATTGCATGTTCATGTAAATATTTTACGAAAATAGCTGCATTTCCCCCAATGCAAAGAAGCCATTGAGAAGAGGGGCATTATGTGACATTTTGCCAGTCTCGTTCGCGTCTGCCTTACTAGAAGGCAGCCATGATCTTGTAGCTGCCTCTGCATTTAGTCTATCGTGATCTGTTGTTTTAGTTGAAATATAAAAAGAAAGTCTGGCCTCACTCATTTTGTAGTTGGAAAAGGGAGAAATATTGTAGTGCCCGTTACAAACACCCAAGAGCGTTTTTCTTTGCTATTATTACACCAAAACTCGTCGAGCGAGAGCGTCTGTAAGCTTAGTGCTCGTGCGGGATCAGAAACCGTGGCAGTGTCTCTGTGCGCTCTGTTATTACGGTCTGCCTCAAACTCTGCGTGATTTTGTGGCGTCATGCGTGGGCCACTCAGAAGACACTGTCCCCGGAGTTAGGCGGAACCTCCGAATTTTGACACAACATATACTATTTTAAAAAGTCACACTTGGTTCCACCACCCATGTCGTTGTATTTCTAAAAAATTTTTAAAGAAATGTTTATTCACTTATTTGAGAGAGAGAGATAGAGAGTGAGCAGGGGAGGGGTACAGAGAGGCAGAGTGAGAGAATCCCGAGCAGGCTCCACACCGTCAGCACAGAACCCGATGCGGGGCTCAAACCCACAAACGGTGAGACCATGACCTGAGCCAAAACCAAGAGTCAGACGTTCAGCCAACTGAACCACCCAGGTGCCCCAACGTACGATATTTTTAAAAGCCACACTTGGTCCCACCATCCATCTCATTTTTAAAAATCGCTATTAAGAAGCTGTCACAGAGACAGATACAAGTTTTTCAAAATCATTATTTTTGCGTGAAAGCTCAGATTTTACCACCGGCAGCGACTACTGTCGGCTCTTCTGGAAGTGAGAGTTTCACTTTGTTCCTTTTTAAGAAAACATCTGCCTTGGGGCGCCTGGGTGGCGCAGTCGGTTAAGCGTCCGACTTCAGCTCAGGTCATGATCTC